CCTCCACCCCCCCACCCCCCACCTCTCTCTTTTTTCAAAAGAAAATTTAGAACCCCCAAACTCAAACACTTCATCTTGAGTCCACCTCTAATTACGGTTCGATGTCTTTGAGTAATTAAATTATAAAAATAATTTCCTTAAAGAATACATATGCAGGACTGGAGTAAAAGAGTCGCTAAATGTCGTAGCAGCATCAAAAGGCTGCCTTTTAGATCCTCCGATGCCTTAAGAGGATTATCCTTTGATCATCGTTTTTAGAGTCTGTTTGGCATTGCTGTTAAAAAAATTGCTTATTTTCATAAACACTTTTTAAAAATAGCTTTTTAGGAAAGTGTTTTAGAAAAAATCAATTTGTGTTTGACTAATTCATTTGAAAAGTATTTTTTATAAGCAAATTGTATTTGACTAATCTTTTTAAAAAAGTGTTTTAGAGTCAAATTATGATTAAGGGCAATTATTAATATACTTTTAATATTAAGATTTTTATAGAGAGAAACTAGTTTAAACATCTATTACAAAAAAATTAATTAAAATTTTATTTTTATGAAATTAAAATTTTATTTTTATGAAATTAAAATGTTCATATTCAAATTTTCAATCAAAATTATGGATGCTTTTTTAATTAATAAAAAAACAATTGTTTGTGGAAAAATAAATGGAGATTTATGCATGTGTCTGATACATTATTGAGTTAAGATTATATATGTCTAGTTGTTATTAATGTATTTGATTAAGCGTATATATTTGAAAAAAATACACATTTATCTGAATAGGAGTTCATGAATTTAATAAAGTTTATATGTTTCTGAGTTAAGACATAATGTAACTAATTCTTATCAATGTATCTGATTAAGTGGACATATATCTGACAAAATATATACATGTTTATCATGAATCTGACACATTATTTAGTTTTTATCAATGTATCTAATTATGTGTACATATATCTCACAAAAAATATGCATGTCTCTAAATAAGATTTTATGAATCTGATAAAGTGTATATGTTTCTAAATTAAGAAGTCTAAACTTTGTTTGCTGTGATGGACAAGAGGATTTAATCTAGGGATAGTTTTTAAGTGGCCTTTAATCTGTTGTTTGGTTACCAAGAGTGGGATAATTTATCCCAAGATTAACAATTAGTTCTCGGATAAGTTATCTCTCCCTGGGGTGGAATAATAATCCGAGGATAACTTATCCTAGGATTAGGTAGCTAAAATACCCTCCTTAAACCCCACTTTTATACACCACTTTACATTCATGTATATTAACATAATTTTTAACAACATTTATAATAACATTCACAATCTTAATTATTCGTTATTCTTATGATAATATATTTTTCTATTAAAAAATTACATTTGATAAATACAATTCCCCCCCACCCCACCCACCCCCGTCCTG